TTGGCATGTATACATTTATATGTATAAAATAGATAACCAAAAAGAACTTGCTGTATAAAAAAATAAAATAAAATTCAAATTACAAAAAGTAAAAGAGAAAAAATATTCTTCCCTTCACATACATGTATTTATATGAATAAATTATTTCCATGCTTATATCTGTAAATACAAAAAAGAGGAATAAAATCTACCTTGAACCAAAAACGAAAAAAAGAAAAAAAAAAGCAGAACCCACCAGTTACACAGAGGAAAACCATATCAGGGCACTTGCTCCAGTTGTAAACAATTCTGAAGTTGGTCAGTGGTGGGGAATCGTCTCCCATTCAGCCAGCAGGCCCCACGCAACAAGCGTCCTCATTGCAAAGCTGGGGGACCGTGCCGAGGCATCTGTGAGTAAATGTGGGCCAAGCCCCAGGCCAGCTGCTGCTGAACTGTTCCCACCCTTCCCAGGTAAAACAGTTGAATATGTACAAGGACTTGAAAGCCTAGAGGAAGGGCCATGGAGCCACAGGAGCAACAGCATGGCAGCCGACTTGGTGCCTGCAGGCCAGCCAGGATGGTCCTGGCCCTGGGTGCTCTTCTGGAAGCTTTCCATTTCCCTGCCTGAGATACCCCTGCTGTCCCGGCCCCCACTGCTTTCTTCCTTCCTCACCTCTGCCCAGGGAGAAATTCCAGCGGCAGGTATGGGTGACACATCCTCTTCTTTAGCAGGTGGCAGCCTGGCAACTGCTGCAGAAAGTCCAGCAGAGCCCCACTCACACTGGGCCACCCACAAAGCCGTGGCCTCTCACTCCCTCCCACCAGCCCAGCCCCGAGACTGCTGACAGGGCAGAGAAAATGGCGTCAGGCACAGCTGCAGGGGCTCTTGCTGCCTGGAGCGGTGTTTATATTGATCTCAACCCAGGCACAGCTGGGGAGGGCTGGCCGGCACGGTCAGGCTGCCCAGGTCAGCCAATCCTCGCCCCTCAGGGGCTCACAGTTGCAGAAAATGGACCTTGCTGAATCGACCAGGTCCAAGGAACAGGTGTGGGCTCTTGAGAGTCAGGATAGACAAGGGGCTGCAGCTCTGGCTTGTTTTCTAATCATTTTATCTGGCCCATGAGTGGGAGACAAATTCAAGAAAACCCTCTCCTAATGAGAGGAACCCAGGAGTCAGGGAGAGGAGGGGTGGGTGGTGGGTGGAGACAGAGGCCTGGTGCCCCGGGTGCAGTGGAAGTCTCTGGAAATCCGGTGGAGGGAGGCCACACAGAGTGATGCCCAGGGTCACAGACCTGTCGGAGCTGCTGTTTCTTAGTTCAAGTCCTGCTCTGAGGTGCTCTGTGTCAGATCTGAGTGACAGGTGAGCTGGGGGTGCTCTGCCATGAGGGCTATGTGCACGGTTCCTGTGTGCCCAGCCCTGCCACGGTACCTGCAAGGGTAGCTCTGTATCCTGGGAGGGGCCTGACCACGAGAGCCCCATGGGCTGCAGGGTACCTGCCCAGGGAACCCCATATCCTTGGAGGGGCCTGACCACGACAGCCCTGTGGGCTTGGGTGGGGGTGGGGTACCTGCCCAGGTGAGCTCCATATCCTGCGATTGGCCTGACCACGAGAGCCCCATGGGCTGCTGGAGACCTGGTAAAAGATGTCAGGACAGTCAGTGAAGCCACCGAGGATATACCTCCAGTAGTTCCTAATTCCTACACCCTGCTGCTCATACTACCAACCACCAGGACATGGTATTCTGTATTAGTCTTAAATGATGCCTTCTTTTGTATTCCATTAGTCCCAGAGTCACAAGAAATTTTGGCTTGTGATTGGCAGGACTCAACATACAATGAAGACAATACTGCTGGGGCCGTCCTGCCCCAAGGGCTCAAAAATTCCCACACCACCTTTGGGGAAAGTTAACTAAAACCTAAAAGATCTACCTCTGGAGAAGGGAACCCTCCTTCAATATGCAGACAACATTCTGATCGCCAGTCCTACTAAGGAGGCCTCTGAACCACCTAGCCAATAAAGGATAGAAGGTGTCCAAGAAAAAGGCTCAAATATCACAGACTAAGGTGAGCTTCCTGGGCTCCATTCTCACAGAAAGTTGGAGAAGCCCATCCCAGGAAAGGGAAGAAGCCATTTGCAGCCTTACCCCTTCTAAAACTAGAAGACAGCTTAGGGGTTCCTGGGGAGGTCGGGGTTTGCCGCATCTGGATCCCGAACTACAGTCTAATAGCTGGGCCTCTATATGAAACATTGAAAGGAAAAGATGATGATCCTTTCGAATAGAATCCAAAAGCGGTCTTTCCAGAATGGAAAGAGCAGTTAATTCAGATCCTTGCCCTGGACCTCCATAATTTAACTAAAACCTTTGACCTTTACATTCCCAGTAGAAGGTGAATCGCCCTTGGAGTATTAGTGCAAAAACTGGGACCACTAGAACTGGAACAACTCAAGTATGCCGTCCAGGTAGGAGAAGCTATGTTCACCAAGGGCTTGGCCAGCCGCCCCATCCGGCCAGGATACTTGGGGTATCTAAAAACCTGGAAATCAGCAGCCCACAAGGCCAGCTCCCTCCTAAGGGAAAAAGACCCCACGTGGTGATCCTAACCACCCACCATGCCCTGAAGTTGCAGGGATCACTCTGTGGGCACACTGACCTCGAGTGAGGAGGCCCTCCAACTCCAACCTTCAGAGAGACAACCAGGGGCAACGGCCCCCATGACGACTCATGTGACCATCACTTGACCTGGAGCTTCTCTCAGAAAACAACAAGAGTGTGTCCCAAAAGAGCAGACTACTGCTTGCAGGACTTACTGCACCCAGAGGGGAACTAATAAGCTTGGCGGTGGAACCGTCAATAATGCTTTCACCATAGAAAAGCCTACAGACACCACGGTGACGGCGGCCAGTGAGACCGGCTGGACTCCTGCCTACCTCAAAAAGCCGTTGACTCAGTGGCCGTCATGGTCCTGGATCACCACCGGCCCTGGGCTCTCTGGGAGTTGAGCAGGCAGGGATCTGACACCTGTTGCTGTTTGTACGTTAATTCAGGGCCCTAATTGAAGAAAGTGAAGACTAGTGGTCAGAGCATCTAGGCTGGCAGAAACCATCAGCCTAAGGTGGACAAACAAATGTGGAGCGGGGTAAAACTGGACCCCCCAGCGCCTCTGTGCATCTCTTTCCTGGACCCTTAAAGGTCATTGGAATCTATAACGCTTCCAATGCTGGTGCTCAGGCGGACAAGCAGGGAGGCAGGAGGCCTGGGGACAATCACAATCAACCTCACCTGGTGGCTGCTGGGGAGAAGTTCTGCCCCTCCACCCCCCAGGTATGAGGACTCCCAACTCAGCATGAAGCAGTTACAGAAGAGGGGTCTGCACCCTCAGAGCCCCAAGAATGAGGAACGAGACAAAAGGCAGAGGAGGGGTTTGTCACCAGCAAAGCCCTTGAAAAATTCTTGGGAGATAAAAATAGAATCTGGGCAATAAAATAAAGTCTAACCTTTTTTTCCTTTGTGCTGTGTCTAATTTCACTTGCTCCTAGGTTTCCACATGCAGAGGTCCCACACCCGGCACTTCAGACCTGATTTCCTAGTGCAAAATGGCTGGGCCCACACCTCAGCTCACAGGGCCCCGTGCAGACTCCGCGACATAGAGCCTGAGCTGCAGCCAACCCAGCCCTCGAGAGCTCCGCCCCCTCCCTCCCGCTGAGGCTGATGGGATCCCTACACAGCAGCCCGGCCCACAGCCCGCGGGGGAGCACACGCTCTTACCTCTCCATTCTCTGATCAAAATATAAAGTTTCCTTTGCTTCTGAACAAAACACAGTCTTGATCTGTTGACTCCAGTGACACTGCGCAGGGGGACACTTGTTGGGGCCCACTCTCGAGGATCAGTAACAGAAATTGAGAACATTGTAACTTCATTGAACAGATGTGTGAACCAAACTGTAAGGAATGAAGAGCAGTCTGTAAGGCTCGTGTAAAATAAGATATTTCTAACAATCCCATTTGTTATTTCCATCACTTTATTATAAGCAAGGTCAGTGGAGGGTTACTGTCTTATTTGTCAGGTCAAGTTTAGAGAAATTAAGTGATTGTTTTCCAAGGATGTACATCTAATGGTCTTGGCTGAAGCTTCAGTCTTCTTTTGAATGCTTTTCCATTGAAAATGATACCATTTTTTCAGCTCCCCCATTTCTGAGGAATATAAAATCTTGTAACTTATTGTTACCAAAGGGGAAAGGGGCAGGGAGGGATAATTTAAGATTTTAGGATTAACACATACACAATGCTGTGTATAAAGTGGATAATCAACAAGGGCCTACTATATAGCACAGGGAACTACACTTAATATTTTGTAATAACCTATAAAGGGAAAGAATCTGGAAAAAATAGATACCTATATCTACATCATCTCCCAAGGCCAGATAAAATGTAACTTAAGGGAGGCCAATGGTGACCACTTCTGACCCTCAATCATCTAAAGCTTGGACTCGGCCTACTGCCCAAGGCCCTTCATGAACATACATGCATGTACCCATAGCTTAAAACTTCCCCAGTTTTGGCGTTCTGGGAGACACGGATTTCGAAAGATGCCTGGTGTTCCCCTTACTTGCAGGGGACCCTTCCTACTGCTGAAACATGCCTGTCACACCCAGAGGATGGTACACCGTCTGATCAGGAAGAGTTTGGAAAAGGCACCTCATCTCCTCATCTCCAGGTGCTCGGGTTCCCCCCACCAGCCTCTTTCCGAACAATCTCCCCACTTAACGAAGTCAGCACCTTCAACATCCAGTTTCGCACAGTTTGGAATTTGTCCGGAGGATGAAGGGGAAGGGGGAGATCCATGAGAGACAAGCCCTAGGTGTTTGGACAGGAAAATGCCACTTTAATTTCCATTTAGTAAGAGGAATTAACCAAAGGTTCACCTTGCCCCGGAACCAGAATTGGGCTTGAAGCAATCCTGCTGTTTTGTTGCTAGATCTCAAAGAAACAAGTTGGAAAATGGAGGTTAGGAGCACTGCAATTCACAAACCTGCAGGGTTTAAAATGATACCTATCATCAAAAAATGTCTTCAGGTAAGTCACGGAAAAGGATTTTAATGAAAGGCAGAATTGCAGGAAAGGAATTTCAAGAGGTAGATTGAACTAGCCATTAAAGCACACGAAAAAGTGGCTGAACTTCACCAATAACGCAGTTGGCCAAAAAGGGCTGGCAATGCAAATCAACACTCCAAAGATGTATCAATTCCCATCAGTCAGAAGGGATATCCTCACAAAATGTAAAAACCAGAAATGCAGGACAGGGCTTGGAGAAAATGGAACCCAGCTACACTGATGGTGGGAATGTAAATTGCCAATGGCCAAGCTTCAGAAGTGTATTATGTTTCCTACAAAATTTAAAAAACAGATACAGAGCATACGACCCTTGCACTCATGCGTGTATATCCTGTGAAAACCAAAAATCTACAGGACACAAGCACCCCAAAGTTTAGTGCTGCTCTGTTTACAAGAGCCTCGAACTGGATACAACATAAATGTCCTTGGGGAAGAAAAATGGATAAAGAAGTGGTACTTACAGACAATGGAATATGCCTCAGCCAGGTAATCAATGAAATATGGCCAGTTGGAGCAACTCGTGTGGACTTAGGTACGATCATTCTAAGTGACACAAGTCAGACAGAAAAAGAGACTTATCATGAGATA